TGAGAATCTACATAAGTATCATTTTCCAAAAACAGTGGTATGTTGGTATCTGGCTCACTGGCTGCATGCATCTAGAAGTTGTTTCGTGCATATTCTAACAGCAACCACTGGACCGCCGGGGGAATCTTACAATGTGAAAGTCTAGATTCTATCCAGGGACATTTCTCTGGCGGCTGTGAGAGCATCTCTAGTGGATGGTGTAAATTTGAACGTGTATATCTCCATATACACGTTCATATACACCTTGCTAAATTATACACCTTTCAGTTTTTCAATGGAACGTGTAAATTAGAACGTGCATATTAGAAACGCGACGGCGACCTGGGGGCGAGCTCCTCCGATCCTTCCTCCAGGCGGGCACGGAACGAAGCAGCGGTCTCCTTTTCGCGAGCTCACGAGTGTGGCTTGCTCGTGCATATTTCCACGCCTTGTACCGTCGTGACCTGGGCGTGGATGTTTACACGCCCTTTTACACGAGTCGCTGGGAGCAGTTTTTCAGCTCACATCGTGTATATTTTCTATACACGTCCATATAGATGATCCACTAGAGATGCTCTGACAAGTTCCTCATGATCTTCCCGTGGCAAATTTAACAATTTTGACCTATGGATGAAATCATTTCACAAAATGAACCGCCCCTAAATTTTTTTCACTTAGATGATTTTTTTTAGTGGTGCCCGACACGAAGGCGCCACACTGCACTGTGCAGCGCCTGACTGACAGGCGTTATACGCCTCGCCAGCGTCGCGCCCGTGCAAACCGAAAATTATTAAGTCAGTGTGCAACGCCTGAGAGCTAGGCACCACACTATACAGTGTAGCGCTTAACTTCTAGGCGTTGCATTAGTGGTTGCACTATTGGCGCCTAGCTCTTAGGCTCTGCACATTAACTTATTAATTTTTAGGCAGTCCGGGGTGTGACGCCGGCCAGACGTGTAGCTTCTGTCAGTCAGGCGTTGCACAGTGTAGTGTGACGCCTTCGTGTCGGACGCCACTTAAAAAGATCAGCTGAGTGAAATTTTTTTAAAAACAGTTTATTTTGTGAAATGATTTCATCCACAAATCAAAATTGTCAAATTTGCCTCTCCCCATCGACTTCTCTTCATGCATGTGCGTGCGTTGGGAGGGAACGCTGGCCGTTTCATGCCGACATCATCATGTAGAGAACAAACAGTTGTACTTGATGTCTAGATGATCCAGAACAATTATTAGAATTTCAGCTAATACTCGGCGGGTACCAAAATGTTTGTAATCTCGACATTTCAGCCTGGATTCAAACTAATTTGAAATAAAATTAAAATTAGGTTAAATTTCATTCAAATTCAATGTGTTTTGATAGATTGAAATCCGAAATAATTGTCAAAGTCCAAATTGTCTCTCCTCCCCCCACCCACATCTCTCGGCGAATGACGGAGGACAAGTCAAAACAAATTCTACACATTCATTTCAAGAATGGATCACACATATTCCCATTTTAACACCATGAATATGCATGTCTAGTCATCTTTGTGTAACTCATAATCTGCTTGAAATTCATCTGGCTATGTTAATTAATCACAACAAAATAATTAATGAGAACGTCTGTCACAAACGAGAACTTACTAGCTGCAAAAAGGTGAGACCGAAATTTAATGGCACTGCAATTGGCTGCATTTCACAATCACCTTTTGCCCATGCAGATTTCAACTCTACTTTCATGATTTCTCCCGAACACCATCACGTGCTTAAGATTGTGAGCCTATCACCGCGTCTACCACTTGACACAAAGGGTTCTGAACTGGCCAATTCCATCAAATATTTATGTCAAAATTTGTAATCCCTTTAGGTGCATCACCTGGCCACACCACAAGTTATATTCATCAAGTTGCACACCACCTTTTCGCCACATTTTGTGGACAGTATCGTGCATGGACGCACGCATCTTTCCTTTGGCTCCTTTGAACCTCTATAAATAGCCGTGGATTTCGAAGCTTCTTATCAGAGAACCAATCGTGAGCATCAGCTTCTAAGATCACAACTAAGACACACACACACACACACACACTACACGGCAAGAAACACCAGGAGGTAGGGCAATCCGATCCGGTTATGGCGCCCAGCAGAGAGGCGTGTGCGATCGCCATGGCCGTGGCAGCCCCGTTCATCGCAATGGCAAGCAACATCGGCACCGACAACGTTGAGAAGCGGCGCAGGACCTCGTCCGACATGCTCCAGCGCACCGTCTCCGACGTCTCCTTCCAGCTCCACCACCACGGCCCCGCCAAGGAGGAGGAAGAGGCGGCGGCGGAGGCGGAGATGAAGCTGCTCCACCCGGTCTCCGAGGTGGAGGACGCCAAGTGCGAGTGCTGCGGCATGTCGGAGGAGTGCACGCCGGAGTACATCCGCGGCGTGCGCGGCCGGTTCTCGGGGCGGTGGGTCTGCGGGCTGTGCGCCGAGGCCGTGAATGAGGAGGCCGAGAAGAACGGAGGGTCGCTGGAGGAGGCGCTCCGGACGCACATGGGCGTGTGCAAGAGGTTCAACGGCTTTGGGAGGACGTACCCGGTGCTGTTCCAGGCGGAGGCCATGAGGGAGATCCTGAGGAAGCGGTCCAAGCTCGGGCCGAGGTCCAGGACCGGCATCAACCCCCGGGAGGTCAGGGAAACCGCCTCCAAGGCGAAGGCGAAGGGTTCAGCCGGCGCCGGCGGCATCGCACGCAGCTCCAGCTGCATGCCGTTCATCACCGACGAGTTCAGCGACTAGACGGAGCTGGTTGATTCGCTGGCTAACTTTGAGCATGACAAGGTGCTTAGCTAGAAGGATAGTTTTAAGCCTTCTTGTTGCATGTTTTCGCCATCTTTTTGGACCAAGGGTGCATACTTCACACGCCTTTAGGGTGTTTTTTTGGTTGCACCTCCAGCTTATCTAGATAGAACCTTGAGCATCGTCGTGGCAACACCTTAAGTCTTAAGCTTGTACTCCCTCCGTTCTGAATTACTTATCTTAGATTTGTCTAGATATGAAGGTATCTAGCAGAGTCTAAATATATCCGTATCTAGACAAATCCAAGACAAATAATTCAGAACGGAGGAAGTATGCTGGTTAGTCAGCGGTCATGTTCTGTTTTTTCAAGTTCAAGTATAAATTGGATTTGGTGGTTGGACAGCATTAAAATTTGGTGCGCTGATCTTCGGTGTGGTTTAGAAGTTCTTATTTGTTTTGGAACGGGGCTTCTGTTTGGTTCTCTTGTGGCGTAGTTTCGTTGGAAGGAGCATAAAAGATCAGCTCCTTCTTCCATTGATTCCATGCAAGTTTTATGCGTGCATGTGCATGGACAGTGGAGTATGTATGTGTTGAACCGACTAGTAAACTAGTCTTTATCTTGTCATCGTAAGAGAAATGCAATGAAATCAACTGTGATTAACTGCTTGTGTGTTTGGTCATTAATTAATTTGAGTTTCTATGTTGAAAAATGTGGCCAGGGCCTGACGCTGTTGTGTTTAATTGTTTGCCTGGTGTTTAACTTCAGAAAATGGAAGTGAAGAAGAACCAAGTCCAATCATCTCCACGAACTCTCTGTTATTCTTTTCCTTTTCAAAAAAGTACATTTTCGTTCAATGGATATATCGAGGTGATACAACTGCACCGAGTGAATGTTGGGCCTGTGAATAGCATGATCCACACAATCAACACGTCCAACACAACTAAAAAGAACATATTATTTTACATCAATATTAAAAAATGTTCATGCGAAAACCTTCCTAGCCATATGCTTCAGCCGGATAGACACCATCAAGTATAAATTGGATTTGGTGGTTGGACAACCTTAATTTGGTGCGCTGATCTTTGGGGTGATTTAGAAGTTCTTATTTGTTTTTCGACAGGGCTTCGGTTTGGTTCTCTTGTGACGTAGTTTCGTCGGAAGGAGCATATAGATCAGCCCCTTCTTCCATTGATACCATGCAAGTTTTATGCGTGCATGAACTGTGGAGTATGTATGTGTCGAACCGACTAGTAAACTAGTCTTTATTAGGAGAACACACGTGCGTTGCTATAGGCTATCCGTCATGTTATCTTTAATATCTGGGGACAATACAAAAATCCCACGCCATGATGCACCTTTTTTTTCTATCGCGCCCTTCTCTTCCCGCTCAGATTTCCGCCGTAGCGGGATATTCCTAACTGGAGCCACCTTCTTTAAAACCAGATGACGTCCACCTCACCTTTGTTGTACATTGCAAAAGGGGTGAAAATTTTCATTTACAATATAATAGAGTGGGTTAAACTAACACATAATATTAACATAAAACAACAAATAACTATAGAGATCATTCTCAAAGGTCCATTCAACTTTGCAAATGCACACTGATGTTGGAGGCAAGTGTCAACCTGAATGTATTCCTAGTCATCAATAAGTTCCACCTCCAACCCACATATCATTAATTGCTTGAAGCGACAATTGTCATTCTTCTCTTTCTTGTCCTTCCCTACATCTTCTACTCCTAGCCTTTTCGCCGACCCATTTCGTTGGCGCCAACTATCACCACATTAACATCAGTGCATTCATCAGCGACGCCTCATCTTCTTCCTCCTCCTTCCTGCTCAGCTTTAGTTCTCGTTCCTACTTATTTTCTAGAATACTCTTTCTTTCTTTTTGCTTTTTTGGAACACTCTTTCTTTATCAGAAACCATGGACCACTTGGTGGCTTTAGTTTTTTTTCCTTCTTATTTTTGGAACACTCTTCCTTTCTACTATAGCATGAATCACATGGCCAACACTAGTAGAAAAAGGGCCATTTTCCCGGTTCATAAGGCCCATCTGTCCCGGTTGGGGAACTGGGACTAAAGGGTCATTACTAATGCCCTAGGCCTTTAGTCCCGGTTCTTATACTAACCGGGACAGATGGGCCTCCACGTGGCCGCTCCGACGAGCCCAGGCACGAGGGCCTTTGGTCCCAGTTGGTGCACCAACAGGGACCAATAAGCTTCCACACGTCAGCATTTCAGGGGCTGGGTTTTTTTTTGAAAGGAGGTGGTTTAGGGGTTTTGGGGATTAATTTAGGTTGGTATAGGTAGCTAATAGAGATATGTCTCCTCTCTTATCTCCGTGCTACTGCTACTGCTATGCCTAAACATGACTTAGATTGAAGTGAGGCAACATGTGGTGCATGTCGAAAGTAATACTAATCCTAACTTGATCAAGTTTGTATTGTACTACTTTCGACATGCACCACATGCATGTTGCCTTCACTTCAATCCAATCCATGTTCATTTCACCCGCTGATATATAATAACTCTTCATGCTCGCATCATGCATCATCATATATAATAACAAGTCTACTAATCATCATCATACAACTTCTACTCGTTATTAATAACAAGTCATACGATCATCATCCTCATAGTTATCGAACCAACCATACTTAATTATTCTTAGCACATGATCATCAGTATTAGGTAGGACCTAAATACCCTCTTTAAGGTAAAATAGCATGAAACAATATAGACCCTGACTCTCCATTATGGAGAATGGAGATCATCCTGTCTTCAATTCTTGCGCTTCGTTTCCTTTTGCTTCCAAGAACCTCCTTACGACTGTCCATACATTTTTTCCATCCTTTGATTTGCATGTCTCTATTCCTTTTAGAAATCTGGTATGGACAGTTGAGATTCGTAGGATGACCTAGCTGTATGTTCAAAACATTAAGGCTACATTTCTGATACATCAAATGAGGCACACAATTCTCTAGGATTATCTATTGAAAAACATAGCAATAACTTCATAGTTAGCAATGATGTACTAGTTTTAGAAATATGCAAAAGATGCACGGATGTCGTAATAGTAAAAAATCTTACCAGGGTATCTCCATGGTAGTTACCGTAGTTCAACACATGCACTAGTGGCACGTATTGACCATAATGTTGAGGAGTTTGATTGTAGATATTGTAATTCTCAATGTCAGTACAAAATTCGACCAGATGATTTTTCTCCTTGTAAGTTAATTCGGAGCCATCGGTGTAGTGGGTTTTGTCTACCATCTCCCGCACATTCTTTGAAGAATGAAAATAAGCCGTCAATGGAAATAAGCTGTCAACTATTTTTAAATAAACAATATAAATTAGCTAATAACTATGTTTGAGAAACTCACATAGCGGTAGAATTGGAGGCGTATCAACAAGGACCCAAATGTCCATATTGTCTTGCTCGATTTCAGGATCACCAAGATCCATGGTGACAAGCATACCCTCATCAAAACCATACATCTTGCAAAGTGCTTCCCATTTTTTGCAACCAAAATGGGTTACGCTCTCATAATTGTACAACTTTACTTCAAAATCCACATCATGATGAGTCCTTAGGTGAATTTTCTTTGTTTCGAAACTTTCATGGTCTTCAAAACCCATCCTCTCCAAGACATAGCGCCTTGCATGGCATGTGATAAGCTACTCGAATTGTAAAAGATGAAAATTACACGTTGAAATAGTTGTAGTCATGCTTAATTACGAAAAAACACTTGTCGTCGTTGCGTACCGTTTCAACATCGAAGGTCTCCTCAAGCTTAATGCTGAAGCGCCAATCATCGTCCAGGTGAGGCCTATCGCACAGACCTCGATCATCGTGGCATCAGCTGCACTCCCCCGGGCGACTTTCGTCATCTGATGACGACATTTCCTACATTCATAATTCAAAGATTAAACTTGTACAATTAAATATAGGTACTACAAAAACTAGATTAGATCATTATTATTCATCCCGGGTTGACTATCGGTCTGTCTAGTCTTTTCTTAAAAACTCTCAGCTCACGTGGTGTATATATTCGACTCTCGGTGATGGTCGTTACTCCTTCTTCCCCTAGTGCATAACAAATGTCTAGCACCCGGAGAAGAAGGAGAAACGACCCCCACGACAACAGTCGGGATTCTTCGTCCTCTCATATATATATATGGTGGAACTCTCCCTCACTGATTCCTCTCTGACATTTGCGACCATCGGTGATGGTCGTTACTCCTTCTTCCACTAGTGCATAACAAAAGTCTAGCACCTAGAGAAGAAGGAGAAACGACCCCCACGACAATAGTCGGGCTTCTTCGTCCTCTCATATATGGTGGAGACTTGACAGACTTAAAGTCAACCCGAAATATCATTTAATTATCTTTCTAAAAAAGGATTTGGCTTGTCTCACCTCGAGGTCGGAGGGGGTCGGTGACGGGGATGACGGCGGGGATGATGGAGGGGGGCTCCAAGATTTCTGCGAAAACAAAAACCCTATAAGCTATCAACTAATCATATGCATACGCCTTGCATAGTGCTCTCCAATTTTAGCATTCAAAGTAGGAGTAGTTTTCCAATTTGAGCATTCAATAAGCAAAATCAAATCGCAAAATAAAGTAGTATTCAAATTACGATGCATTCAATTATAAGCAAAACTACATCATCTCTTGCGTCCGTACATCGTCGAATATTATCACTAATACACCTCGAATACTATCATACATATAACATCACTAGTACAGCTAGAACCGTAGCGCCTGACGGGTATCGGCACGGGCGGTGGACACCCAAAGAGAAGGAACCATCACAGGATCGCTCCAGTGAGATCCCTGAAGAACCTGCCAGGTATTGTCGAACCTTCCCTCCAACGCAACCATGTAGCGACGGACGTGCTCGTCCTCCTCGCTGACACGGTGACGTACCACCTCCGCGGTGTCCGGAAGCCTCGGCACCGTCACTGGCCCACGCGACCGCCACCAAACAAGGATCG